TATTTAGCACTAGCTGGCCCAGTCATGCGATCTTGCATTTGATTGATTGCATTTCGAATGTCTATCGATTTAATTGTGTGCCATCTATGTGCAGACCGTATTTTCCCTACATACGTTCCAGTGCTGTTCTGTTCTACTGCTTTTTCTTGATTCAACACCATCGATCAGAGAGCAGTTCCTTTTGGTTGAAGTTATGATTCATGAAGCGTAATTAACTGGCCACTGAGACTCAACAGGTAGTTTGTGCAACAAAACAGCCATAAGAATGTAAGCAGAGGCATCACATGAGAGGAAAATCGGCATTCGTAGGTCGTAATGGGCAAGCACGTCATCTGAAGCCAAGAGTTTCTTTGCTGCGTTGAAAGCATCCTCGTAAACCAGGTTCCATTTTTCTGGTTGATTCTTGCGTACAAGCTGATGAATTGGATGCTAATAAGAAGATTTTGATGGTACGAATGCAGAGAACTGAGTAATTGCTTTTAAGAAACTACGTAATTCGCTGAACTTTGTGAAGCATGGGCATTAATTGGCTACATACATTCACCATCTAAAGCCGGAGTTATGTGTTCAAAAACGATTTATACGGCCGATATTACTACCTTGGCCAACGGACACCGTTAATTAGTTATTTGGCTGTCATCCTACCTACTTAATTACCTTGTACTAATGAGCCTTGTGTACACATGTTTTTTTAGTTTACTCGGTCTACCACCTCTATCTCTGTCTCAAGTTATCGGTTTTGGCCATTCAAACAGTCAAGAAGTCAATCCCAGCCCCAGTTGACGCTATCTCCACAATCCCTGTTATGTAAAAGTTTGGGTCTGATGAGATTTACCGAAAAGAATTCTTTACCTGAAATGATTTCTGATATTGATTCATATTAAAAGATACACCCCATTGTTTGACAGTTTATAACCAAGGTATCGCCCAGCTGAGGAAAGAAACCCACACTTCTCCTTTTACAGTATCAGCCCATAGTCTGATAGCCATTTATGAACAACAACCAGAGTGCGCAGATGCTCAGCAGTGGTTCCCCCTGTATTTAGGAGATCATACAGGTAGACACAAGTATTTAGTTTATTTTTCACTAGTGTACCAACAATCCGTTTAACTACAGCAGGTGTAGAGCTTATTCCGGACGACATACATGTGCAACGGAATAACTCAATATGAGTGCTTAGAGCTGGGCGATCCCGTGGTTCTGTGTTAACTTCCATCCGTGGGTATGCATGGCTCAGATCCACTTTTGGAAAAGCATTATCACGAGAGAGTGACGCATACATATCTTCTATCTCTGGCAGCAGGTAGCGATCAAGCCGTGGTGCTTGATTGACCGTAACTTCGTACTCTCCACAAGTTCGTATAGTTCCATCACGCTTTAATAATAACACAGTGGATGCTGCTCTGTGTGAGAACTGAACAGGTTCAGTCGTACCTTCTTCTTGGAACCGGAATAGTTCCGTTCTGACTTTTCCCCCAAGTGCATAAGGCAGGGTGCGCGCCATCCAAAGTTTTGGCCTTGGCTTTGATTCAGGTGTCAGATGTGCACTGGAATACTTTAACCAATCAGGCGTGGTTTGATCAAACAAAGCTACGTGCTTTGACTAAATATCGGATATTTGCAGATGAGATTGAAATGAGTCAACCTTCGACATAATGATTGGCGGACGTTTGATGACCTCACGACCAAGTATCTTTGAACCTGGCCCGCCAGATATACGTACACGTGCAACGAAAGTTCTGATGACATTTACCGTCTGCTCGGTACATGGTAACAGTTGTGTTTTGGGTGGGTTCAGTTTCGATATATTCAATAAGGCATCCGCCCATACCAACGTAACTGCTGAACCAGTGTCAATTTCAAAATCCACAGACTGATTGTTTATTTGCAAAGACAAAACATACTGTTTTTCCGCAGACACATTGAAAGTAAAAACGGTTGTTGTGGTGATCTAGTTCTGATTCAGCTTCTAAGCTACGTGATCTTTCTCTTCGTGTTTAATTTCCATTAAAGTATTTCCTTAGGAAGGCATACTTTTTGAATGTGCTGACGGTCACTCGGAGTCGAGTGACGCTTGCCACAACGATAACAGCGGCAACCTCTGGCTATAGGCGTGAGGCAATGCACGGTCACGATTGATCTGGGAAACTTTGTTAACATCCTGTGATAAAGTATAGTCCACTGAGGAAACTGCCGTGAATTCGCGAAGGAAGTGGGCACCTTAGTAAACTATCGCGCAAGCTTTCTTCTATGTCATAAGCATTTGGTCTCCTGACAGCAACCGTTCTCGTACTTTTCCTCAAGGATACCAACAATTAGTGCTGGAACCAGCATTGCTTCTTTAAAACGATTCGGTGGGATTAGATCTATACACAGTCTGGAAAATCCGTAAGGAGACGAGAGATATGTTCATTCACAGATTCACTCGGCTGTTGTCTCGTTGTGTTACAATTGTAGCGCGCCGTAAATGCATGCTTCCGTTCACCCCACAGTTAATCTAAAAAACACAGTCGGTAGCTTTCAATTCATGTGTAGCTGCAAACTAGCGAAATATCTCTGGGCCTCATGACCGAGGTGGTGGCGCTGTAATTTGATTTTCGCAATATCATCAATATCTTTAGTACAGCCAAGTGGAACAAGAATATCAGTGTAGATTGTTAAACTGCGTTTAGTCTCACAGTGGAGGAGTTCCAAAATGCTGGAGCTGCGGAAACCGCGTTAGCCATAAGTTATCCAATTGGTTCCATCGCCAATGGTTACACCCGAGGGAAATGCGAAATAATAAGGAGCAATGGAAGTATACCTTAAGACCAGTTGGCCATGCTTGTGAACAAGGAGTTGTTGAGTAAGCAGAAAGCAATATGCACTGAGTACCAAGTCGGTGTTTTTATTAGGTAGCATGGGTTAATGTGGGCAGTCGAGGTAAGGAATGAAACACACACGTATCGACGCACTCACAAGCACATGCACGCACGCACGCACGCACTGCGCGCTCGGCAGAGGTTACATGACGCATTAAATGTTAATCGCTTTCAGATTCAGATTCAGATGGACTGGAACGATAGGAAAATCCCTTGAGTGTTCCTTCTTGAGCAAATCATTGAGTCAGGAAATGATAAGATAGTTCTTGATAGATCTAAAACGAAACACCCGAAACACACCCTGATCAACCAAATTACTGCCCACGTTCCCTGCACTAGCAGTCCGCGCTGTGTAGGTTACGTGAAGTAAGAAAGAAGTAGAAGGTAACTGGAAGATAAACGGGAACGAAAGTCATTTAAATGAAGGAAAACAACAAAGAGTGACGAGAATGACAGATTAAACACTAAAAGTTTGAAGATGGATATTTTCAGGAGAAGGGAAAGGTTTCGTGTGGCCACCCAAGAGCGTCTAACTGACGCTCGAAACCCTTAACCGTAGGTTCACTGACTACACTTTCTAGAAGCGAGTTCCAGCGCCCGATAACTCTACGCGATAACCGAGTTTCCGCCCTGATCCCGTCAGAACGCGGCTTGTGTAGCTTCATGGAATGACCGCGAAGACAAGGCAACCTAGCCGGGCTAAATAGCCAGCTCAAGTCCGGTCCAAACTTCCCTGTTAATATGCGGTAAGTAAGGATTAGGTCTCCTCGAAGCCGTCGGTAGTGCATTGAATACATACCTAAGCTAAGTAGACGCTCGGGGTACGATTGCCCCCGTAACCCCTCGACCAATTTGGTACCTACTCTCAAAACCCTCTCAAGCTCCATTTTGTCCCTAACAAGGCAGGGCGGGCAAGCCTGGGCGCAGTATTCCAGATGGGGTCGGACAAAATCTGAGAACAGCTTCACAAATATGTCGGCAGTTAAGATCCCGAAAGAACGGCGTATTAACCACAACATTCTGAAACCCCTACTAGCGTCCTTCTTCCAGTTGTCACCAGAATGCAAAGACGAGGAATGAACGGCACGTGGGTCTACCTGGTTGGAGACAAGGGGGAGTTCAACCCCACCGAGTACGTATCTCGAAGGTGGGAAAGTTGCTCCTATACGAAGGACGAAACACTTAGCTTGATTTATGGGCAGTAGCCACAAAGTAGACCAGTCCCAGAGTCTGTCCAGTGCATGCTGTATGGCCTCAGAACCCCCAGGAACATTTACAACATTCCATAGCTTAAGGTCATCAGCAAATAATAGGGATGATACTCAAAGCTCTCCAGGGAGATCGTTTACGTAGATGGAGCACATCATCGGTCCAAGGACCGAGTCCTGCGGGACACCGCTAAGGACCGCTTGCCTAAAGGATAAGCTGCGACCCACACTGTTCACTGTTCTACATTTCAGCTGATACATCACATCACTTCATGAACACTAAAAATCCTCAACTGGGTCACTGACTGACTATGCGTAACACTTATTAAAGCTCTAAACAACCCAATTAGTGCTACTCCTAAAATATTGCAGGTCCTAGATGAGTGTTTACCATAAATTTACATTGCAATTAAGAAACCTAACGAGACTTAGGAAAAAATTAAAACTTTAGAGTGGAAACTGTTTTTGACATGGATTGCAAAATAAACTCATTTTTTATTTCATTCTGGTTAGTGTAGTGTGAAATAGCTAACTTAAGAGCTACATCTGAGGATGCCTAGCCGCATATCTTGTGCTTCGTCATCTAATATACAGGAAAGTATAAATAAGAAGTCAGGAAGTGAATAGCTTCTCTCTATATCAGAAGATCATTATGGTAAATCACGATGCAAAACCTTTAGTGCTATGAGTGCCTGCACAAATAAATTTAAGAAAAGCAGTTTGTTCACTAGAACAATCTTAAAGGGATAGGCCATGAAATGTTTCCGTTTATGTGAACAAACTTTGCTAAATATTATATTAAATGACACAATATATAGATCTACCAACAGTGAAGCAATTATGTCCAAACCAAATACTATACATTATTTATCGTGCCATTACAATACGGGTGTTGCTGTTTATTTTGCATATCTTCCCATTCTGTTGTAGCACCATCAGTTGGCCAACCTATTCGCACACCTAATCGAAAGTGATACCCGTTTTCAACTGGTAAACGATGTTCGTCTGGGACTAGTATGTTTCAACCTGAAGGTATGATACCATCTCATCTGGAGTATTTAACAAATCAGACTAGTTAAACTGTATGCATGTTTGCAACGGTATATAAAACTATAAGAACACTAGTTGTACAGTAAGAAATCCTCATTTAGTTAAGTAGTAGTTTCGCCGATAGCCAAACACTGTGAGCTAACACAAACTTTCTGTCGCATGAATGCTGTGCACCAATGTTGCGGTCATAACTATGGTCAATTATTTTGGATGGTGAATTCAGTATGCAAAATCATCCGCTCATGCTTGTGCAGTGTAATTGTTTTCCTGCCAGGTACAGCAAGGCAGTAAATTATTTCTTTCAAACTGCTCTAGTTTTCATCGAACAAATACTTTGTATTTGAACTAGGCCAGTAAGTGTAGCAGTGGCGCCCAGATATACAAAAATTGACCGCGCTGAAGATCTAAATGAATAGCTGAGTCTTAAAGTGGTTATTTAAGCGAAATATGTCCTTGTAACAAACCCCCAATTAAACTAGCATGCAACTAGAGCCATCAATGAGGTTTATAATAATCCATTATGCATATTACAAGAAGTAGCAGACAACTATTTGCACAAGGTAATGTTCTATTTTAGCTGTGTGTGATTAGGTCATTTCAGCTGATGTGATTCGGCGTGTTTTCACCGATTATTATCACTAATTTCCAGGCAGAACGTAGATGTGTTTCAGTTAAGCCCTTCTTACCGCACTTAATTTTCAGACGGGAAACAAAGCGAACAAAGAACTATTTAGAATGCTGCGCCACGAAAGACAGTTGTTCTTAACCTCCGGATCTCTGCCCACCCACATTGGCGAAAAAGATGCCAGCGAATTTCTAAGATTTGTCTCCAATCACCAGGCTACCTTGGAGGATATTGAACGTGCTGTAAGGATAATAACGAATACTGCCACCAGAGTGCTTCAGCAAAGCCCAAAATAACAGCGAGAAGAACAGCCAATTTTTGTGTTTTATTATTCATGGTTATGAGGTTACATCTTAAGACATTTTACCATTTTACCATTAACATCTTTGCGTTTTAATTTAAGCATAACATATTACTACAGAATTTTAAATGTACAGCGACAAAAATCGCTATATCTCAGATGAATGCAATGTCACATTAGATAACAAGACTGTTTGGACAGCGACTCAGTTGGAGGGTGAAGAGTAGCCTTTCAAAACTTGAAATAGATAGAGACCAGCCAACCGATCACACCCAGAACGGTGAAACTTTCCTCGTAGTTCATGCTGTCCCGGGTTGTTCTTACTTCCGATAAGAAAGAGATCATCCTCCTTAGCATTCAAAGTTGAGGTTCAATCATAATCACCTTCGATAATGTTACCACTGAGCAACATTTTAGTTTGTAGTATGATTCCTCCGCATTAAGGTACTCTAAGGCAAGTAAACTTGTATAACCATTCATGCACATTTAAAACTCAATATCGGAAATGTTGCAGATTGGGTGGCTAACCGTTATCTGAACCATGACTTGAAGTTCAAGTGGTCGGCCTTGATTTACCAGGAAAGCGCAGAGGCATCAATTAGATCTGGACACATATACTTACTATTGCGACCAGCAGAAGCAAAATAAAAGGGTTCCCTATTGTACGCTCAGCATCAACGTCTCGTTTCCGGATCTTGCAATATCCATTAAATCAGCTGTTGCGTCATGGTCACGTTCCCGTTAGTAATATCTTATAATTCTTCAAACAAAGTGTTTCCAGAAATCTGGTCACGATCATTTCACGGTGTCTGCTCTATGTCATCACTCCCTATCGACTTCGTATTCCTTCATAATAGGCAAGCTTACGGTTACAGCCTTCAAGGTTTTGTCCGTGGCTGTCTGCTTATGTTGTCCACTAAGTGCGGTGAAACACATTTCGTCCACAATTGGTGTCACCCACAGTTCACCTACTATGCGATCCGGGCTAAGTTAGGGATCATAGTGTACTAGACGGAGGCTGACCGAAGTAGTGCTGAACCGGGCATAATGATTTCACTCTCCCACGAAAATGGCAGAGACATATCCACGACGGTGGTTCTGCCACAATTTCGGAGACTACGCATACAACCTCAGCCGTGATTGCACAATGCTAACTTCTACCACAAGCAATTGCAAGGAATTTAAAATTAGGGGACAATTAAGAGCTTCTTCACAAAACAAGATGCTTGGTACAAGACTCTTAACTAGATTAATCACGCTATTCTTACTTACTTTAAATATCACGGAATGCTGATTTTCCTCTTTTAATACTGCACGAATGAAGTTTCGGTTATCCGTTGTTCTGCTTTTTGGATATTCTGTAGCGCTGGTTGCCAAGCATCTTTTATCTGGCAAAGCATTCCGAGATCACGCTTGTTTCACTTTGAGCACCTTTGACATTCCTAAATGCATCCTGTTTGGCATTCGGTGTCTACCTCTCATGTTGCCTATCTCGTCGGTCTGTTGAAAGCGGAGAGATTGATTGCCAGTCTGGGCTAAGAGTGTTAGTATTTCGATCACGGTAGGCTGAAGTACACAACGAACCACTGTCAGTGTCAAAAGAGCAAGAAAGAAAAACATTTCGACAGGATATTCTGAATTCAACTGTTCCGTTTATTTTTGTCAGCCGTGTACGTATACTTAGCGGATTGGATAGGTTGCATACAGAGATCATCAGGATGTAATACACACCACGTGAATTCAGATAACCGCTACATGAATGACATTTTCGTCGTTGTACACACTGCCGAGCAAGCAGAAAAACTACTAATGGCGCTCAGCAACTGTTACTCAGGAATCGAAAGCACAATTGGAAACGAATCTTACATGGCCCTCCAATTTTATATGTTCGCTTAAAAGTAACCTAAAAGGTACACTACCCTAGGTTTGACATATAGTGTGCTGTGAATTACAAATGAGCTCCGGTTCGTACCATCTTTGCAATAGCTAGCCGATTATGCTCAGAGGAGGCGATAACATGTGAGCTGCAAAGCGCCTCCTCTACAGTACACGAAAATGGATGTCAGGATAATTTCCTTGCAGAACACTCAAACAAGAATGCGAAAACTGGGAACGAACGAGTGCCCGACCTCCCTAAGAAAAAAGTATTCATAACGATGCCATTGAAAGAAAACTAAAACGGCAGCAGATTCAGATATCACCTCCGTCAATCGATAACATAGTACGCTGCTGAGCATATGGTTTGGTACCAAGTTAAGAAGTTGCTGTTTAAATCCACCCTGGACAAGACAGACATTTGCGCTTCACTACAGGTGCAGCCTGCGTACTACGCTTTTGCAAGTACTGGAAATGCATTGTAAACATGCATTGTGGAGCCAATATTATCGTCCAACAAGGCTTCAGGACCTCCCTGCATTCTGATGACAACATGTATCCGCGTAGCATGCACGTCGGCAGCAATGTACATCACTGCGTGCAAAAAGGGCTGCTTGCTCGGCTACCCGTAATAGTTGTCCATGTCAGGGTTAGCGTGCGCGGATCCCGCTGTAAAATGTTCACAACAAGCTGTAAGGATGTCGGTAAATGAGAGAACAGCATTTCGCTGGTTTTCGTATTTAGATGAATTTCCCGAGTGAATTTCGTGCACGGCCACTATTTATTGGCCCTGCCGTGCTGCCTTCCGCCAGGATGTGGCATTTAGCAAAACGGCACTTTTTGTAGCAAATGATGTGTTTCGTTGTCCAGTGATGCGATTGACGAAGCCTTGAGACTGGCAGTCAAGTCACTGGATGTAATAGAGTGGTTCCATCTGCATTCAGAATCCTTTAAATGGCCACATATTGTGAACCGCTTGTGACTTCCAGACTGGTGTGGATCACCGGCCTGGAGTACCTGTGTCCAATTCATGCGTAGCTATTTATATTCCGTTAGGAGAAAACTGGGCTCGGCTCCGCCAGACTTCACTTTGAACGGGCCTTTGGTTTATCACGACGCGCAGTGCTTGGACAGTAGTACGTTTTGCTAAGTGTCACGACTTTTAAAACATTCCATCGCAGTCACAGCCTCCATGAACTAAAGAAGTACGCTACGACTGCGGTGTTAGCCATGTGGTCGCAAGAATTCGCCTTTATTCGTCTTCGCTTCAGCTCATCCGGAATGCAACTAAAATGAGCAGGTGCGTGGGGTTTAAGATCAGCAGGCTTATCGGAGTACATTTTATATATCTTCGGTTACATCATGTAGACGGCTACAGTGATATTATGAGACAAGGTGCTTGTAACGCGCTCGTGTGGCTTATATTATGGAGTTGTGCCAGGAGATAATGAAGTAGAAATTTTTATTATGTATATATATATATGAATGGAACCGCGGCCATTCAAACTCCCTACCTACTTGACAAATGCTAAATGTATGCAGCGGTTATTTCTGCAATTTCTTCCCATGACCAGATAGGCTCAGCGTCAAGTCAACAGCAATGTTTCCTTGATACATAAATCCTCTTGTCGATTTCAAAGACTGCTTTGTTTTTGCCCTCGAGTCGCTTATCCTTCTCAAACTTTTATTTAGCAGTTGTTGACCTATCATGTGATCGCGCAACTGATTGTTTACAATTGAAACCTCTATCGATTTAATGGTACTGCGTGTGTGTGCGGACAGTTTACTCCACACATACGTTCCGGCGCTGTTCGGGTCTGCCGCATTTTCGTGATACAACAAATTGTCATCGCTTGTCACTGATGTCTCTGCATGCTATTGCCCCTTCATCGTTCTGGAATGACTCTGAGGTTACCCCAAATGCGGAATGCTGGGAAGACTGAAAAATTAGTTTTTCAGATTATATTTCTGTGCTACCAGTTCTCAATCCATCCATGACGCTGAAAACGGAGTGTACTTAAAGCTTTTGCGCTTGCACCTCGGCTCAGCGGGTCGACGTATATTTGTTACTCTAATCCTGCGGGAGAACCCCACGATGACAGAAGCTTTCTCGCCCCTCGATAGACATTGAGGTGTTCAAGTGAACACCTACACTTCTCGGTGCTATTTTGCGCAGCTGAAACTTTCATCTGGTGAATCAGTGGATGTATTCATTTTCCGTCTTTTTTGTTCTGTTCACAAGTGTGACTACAATAGTATTCCCAAGAAAATCGTGGAAGAAACTATGCTAATACAGCAATTGATTTCCGGTGTCACGGATTCTCGGATCAGAGAGAGTCTCTTAATGGTGAATGCAGAAAAGTTCGCATGGGACAGGGCCTGTGATGTGGCTCGCACGAAGGTCGCAGTCACGGAACAAAACAAAATTTTCCTCTCTAACACAGGAGCTACTGAAAGTGACCGTTTGGATTTTACGCGCTCCCTGATGCGATCCTCAGTTAGAAATATGTGTTAGCGTTGTGTAAATGCTGAACCTAGTGCAAATGATAAGTCATGTCCTACAAAGAGTGATATTTGCCGGAGCTACGGTGAGACTGGTCATCTTGTTCGGGTTTGTCGTCCCCGCGTCATCCTTTTATTTGATTCTACAAAGAACTCTAGAGCTTCTCCGGTCACCATTGAAGAATCCAAATAGGTCATTAATGAATGTGAACATCCATTTTCGTCCCCCACTCAAGAACTCAAACTGTATTCGCCACATATTCCTCGCGTATTTTTGGAGTTAGAAACAAAACCATTTGTGTAAACATGGAACTAGATTGCGCGTCACCAATAATATTTGTGCCATATTATTTTTACAAACAGCATTTTGGTCAGCTAGCTGTACATCCTTCCGCTTACACTTTTAACAGCTACTCTAATGGGGATGTCTATTTACTCGGTTTTGTTACGGTCTCAATGTTTCTTTTAAACACCAGGAAGCGTATAGTTGAAGTATACGTCTCTAAAACTGTATTGAAAAGCCCATTGATTGATCAACAGTCTGTGTAAGCGAACCTATGTTTTCGTTAATTCCTTATCGGGCTTTTACAATTACATTTAAATCAAAATTTTGTATACAGGACCCAGGTGTCGTCAGTCAGTCAAATTGATACTAGTGCGCAATGAAAATCGTCAGGCAGTTTCCAC